GGGAGTGTCGGATGAACGGATGATCTGACACTCTCGGTGCAGAGATGGGGGGCCCGCTGGCCGCTGGGTACCGATCCGGCGCTGGGACTGTGCTGGGCCCCCTAGAGGCCGGAGGCCCTGGTGCGTCCGCACCGCCTGCACCGGCGGTAGTTCCGCCACTGGGGGGGATTGTGCATAACCCCTGAAATGTGTCACTTCTCACCTCTTGGTTTTTATTGTGACAAATATAAAATTTGTACCTGCACTGCTCCCTACAGCTTGGTGTTCTCATCCTATCGCTCCTTACATTACAATTATATTCCTACAGAGACTATAAACATAAGTTTAAAGTAACATTAAGGTGTCGGGAATAAATATGCTGTTGAAGGTACCCCAATGAAAGAAATGGTTACAATGTATCTATACATCATAGTCATAGAAGCAGTTTGGATGCTGAAGCAACTCTCCACCCATGAATTCAACAAGGAATAGTGATATTATGATTAATATTGCTTCTGTTTGAGTGCAGAATGTCTGATTCCAGATATATATATATATATATATTTAAAATCATCACTTTTTCTATCGCAGGGAGGGAACCTTGAAAGTTGGTGACCGGATCTTGTGCGTGGACGGAATCTCCCTTCACAATGTCCCCCTCTCAGATGCCCTTACCATCCTCCGGCAGTGCAGCCAGGAGGCCGTCTTCCAGATCGAATATGAGGTCGCCCTCATGGGTAAGATACTATCACGCTTGGCGTTGTGGAGATCACCAAATTCAAGACTCGAGAACCTTTACCTCCTTTCCTTATATTTGGCGAGCAACTAGTGTGAAGTATTTTTGGGTAGTCTTGAAAAGATTTCTGATTTTTCCTTTTTGGAAACATTTGCCCATATACCTGGCAAATTATGAAGGCGCCTGAAGAACATTCGGTAGAATGTGGAAGAAAATCACCCGGGTGTAAAAACAAGAAACTAACCGCAGACACTTGCAACATTAAAGTGTAATAAACGTCATATTAATGGAAACAGCTGAAGTGGTAAATGTGAGCAGGAATTACTAAGGCAGCCAGGGGGTCTGGCCTGAAGTCTGGTGGTTGATGGTCTGCCAACCTTCTGTCCTTTCACAGTTTCCCAGCTCCTAAGTGTGCAGTGTAAGACAATTGGCACGGACAGTGATTGTCAGGCTTCAGATGACTTCTGACACTTAAGTGTCAAGCTTAGACAAAGTAGGAAACACTAAACAAGAGATCATATACAGATTTAAAAGGAAGAGCAGCAAAGAGAAGGGAAACAACCATTGATTACAGTAAGGCGCACATTACAGTATTGGTTTATGTTAAAAAATCTGCGGGTTTAATGTCACTTTAACGTTTATTTGTCTGAGTTTCCCAACTATGCGACATATATAGCAATGCGCAAACAGAGGGTGGACTCACCTAGCAGCAGCCCTTTTTTCATTAAAGGTGTAGAAGCACCCCAGAAGCCAAGACATATATATTTCCCTGCCCATGTCCACCTATCTCTTTTTGCTAGTCTCAAACAGATCAGAGTGGCTGCCATTGTTGTGTTTTTGCACTCTGTAGCGTTCTTCTTCCATACTCTTCCACAGATTTAGCTAGGTCACAAAACCTTGGCGCTCTTCCCCCTTCATATTCTATTACCATAATTTAAATTCTTCCCTATCTTAGTACAGTACCGGTTAATGGGAGCCAAGCCTTTGTCCATGCTGAACTCCTGGCGGCTGGGGCAGGTCGAACGCCAATGTTCTAGTAACTCTCAGTAGAAGTCATTTAACATACTGCAGCGCTCCAAGGCACAATCACTCTGCTTCCATCCCATGTAGGAAATTTAATTGATTGGACCAGATTCAGCTTCGTCTCCATGGATTTATCTGGAAAACATGTAACTCCTTCAGGGCTGGACCTCCAGTGCCCTGCGATGCTTATGGTACAAAACATTGAATCACAAATAGCTGTTAATATCTTCAAAAGTTTCAGCAGCCGGTTGACATATATGTGAGATGAAGTTGAGATGCCAGGGCAAGATATTTTGCCTGGTCAAAGCCAAAGGACCATCAGTCTCAGCCGCTGTCACCGTGTGAGGCTGAAAATAGTGCATGATGGGCCCTCATCTGTGTCAGACGAGCCCCCATACAAGTCTATGGGAATGCAAAGCCCCACTTTGAGCGGGTCACATGCAGGCCAGAAAGAGGCCAACCACAGATCACCTATCAATGAAGTCCGAATGATCTCAGATGATCTCAAACTGATGCCATGGACACAAGCCCAAAGTCCGCCAACATAGGCTTTTAAATAGAGATGGGCTCGGCGGTGTTCGCAGCTCCACGTGCCGAGCCCGCCGGGAATCACAGGCACTGAGACATATCCAGATCTCTGCAGCTGCGGACCGGGAACATGTCTCAGTACCTGTGATTGGCTCTGCGGCGCTGTCAGCTTCCTGGCGGGCTCGGCACGTGGAGCTGTGAACACTTCCGAACCCATCACTACTTTTAAGCAACTCTTCAGCAAGAGTTTCATGTGAAATAGTCATAGACCCTTGTTTATCTAGTCGCCACAAAGCCGTGAGTAGTCCGCTGTTCACTCTTCATGATGGATGGTCGATTTATAACGGTTAGCTCCTGGACTTGGGAATTTAAAAAGGACATTGGTTCCTCATGGTGGCTTGACTCATGGAGAGTGCATTGCCTTCTACCCCTAGCTTGCTTTTAGACTGGCAATCCAAAGGAGCCATTTCATACATGCTTAGTGATTCCTATAAGAGGTCTACTTTGTATTATAAAGCTTTCTATCACCAGAAGCCCTTATGAAGGGGAGCTGATGAGTTCCCAAAATACACTGGCTACTTTTATGACTCGTGTGCCAAATAAAGACCAACTGCATTAACAATATAGCAATGGTGCTCTTATCTTCCCACTATACTTACTACTACTGCTACTAGCTGTGGGCGAAGTTTTGGTTCCATCCTAAAATCTATAGCAATAGCTTAGATGTTCAGATAGCCACACACATTAGTCTTTTCTACAATCTCCTTTAGATTTGTCATCGTTTATAGAATGTGGGGGTCAATGTAATACAATGTGATAACTGAACTATCAATTCGGTTTATATCCCTTGAGCTAAGCATAGTTTGTGAATCTAATTTGGTTGTTGCATGCATGGCCCAGCTTGCATTATCACATTTAGTATTATACTTGAAAAGGTCTATTGTAAGAGCTTTCCATAGAAAGTATTGGCCTTTTTTTAAGGTTCCATCCTGTGGTGTCCATAATGGGTCGTCTCATGCTCATTGCACAATGTTGTGTATGTACCAATCCCACGTCTAGTTTCATCATTTGTATTGAGATTGTAGTCTATCACAGGAGTGAGCTTGGAGTGGTGACTACATTACAACACACACAGGGACCATGGGGAACAAAAGTAGCCACCCTCCAGAAGGAAGGACAGTGTCAGCACCAATTCAGAGATGATTGGAGGATCTACAGCCGAGTGATACACAAATAAGATACAATGTTGTTAATAGTTAGGGTAGTTAAATGCATTTTTAGGATTTAACTCCTGACTTTAGTGTCACTTTAAGGATTACTATGATGGGCTCTATGTTTACCCCATCGTCCTTCTCTTTTAGACACTGTGACAAATGCATCAGGACCCCTACTGGTGGAAATTGCCAAAACACCAGGCTCCACATTGGGCATCTCGCTGAGCACGAGCACTCATCGGAACAAGCAGGTGATAATCATCGACAAGGTTAAGCCAGCCAGCGTGGCGGACAGGTGAGCGGTCTCCATTGTTCTAGTGATGGTTTTATACCGTGCCTTTCCCAAGGACATCTCGGATTATGTTTTACTGTAGCGTCCTTCTCCTGTTCTGCAGTTCTTCACTGTTCATAGCGTGATATACAGTAACTTCATTCGAAGAGTTTATATAGTACACAATCTAATCTCCTTTGCCAGTGACTTTTTTTTATTGCAGAAATCAATTGACAATGTTCTGATCTGATATTGGAACACAATGTTGCAGCAAATACATTATAGGGATAAAAGACTCAGAATTTATAACCTACACAATTGTTTTCTGGCCAGCTTGATAATCGCAGTCATGGTCCAGCCAACCTCTCCAATTGGGGCAAACCCCTCTGTCAATCTTACTAGATTTAGGTGTATAGATCTGTAATACGTTTTAGCTATCCACAGTTTAGATTTCTCTCCATAGATACAGTACACTAAGTGTTGTCACTCTAGGAAGTGTGTTACTGGCAGGATCGCCAGGTAAAAAAAAAAACAAACTGAAGAAAACTAATGCAGCCACTTCATCTAAAGACTGGCAAGCTGCAATGCATAAAATGTTTGTTTTTGGCTGGTTTAGATGCACCGATACCGAGTATTTGGGTGAGTACTCGCCCAAATGCTCCGATGCCTAGCCCGATGCTTCCTGTTTCAGGAAGCCGGGCATCGCGTTATTACACGCTGCCCGGCTTCCTGATCGGCTCCATGCTTCCTCGTCACTTGTGTGTAATGCGTCACGGCTGTGTAATGATGCAGCGCCCGGCTTTCTGATTGGCCAGGAAGCCAGGTTCATTCTCATGACGAGGGAGCATGGAACCGGCTTCCTGGCCAAACAGGAAGCAGGGCGCCGCGTCATTACACGGCGCCCAGCTTCCATTGGCCAGCAAGCCGGCTTTGTGCTTTCTCGTCACATAGTGAGTCTTTACACGCTGCCCAGCTTCCTGAATGGGACTTCCGGTTACTCGGTATTTGGTATCGGCGAGTACCGGAAAACAAAAAATCGGCACTGGTACTCGGTACCAAAATACCGGTATCGGTGCATCCCTAATTTAAACCTAACCCTGGCACATTATCCCCTAACTCTAAATTGAAAGAACCCCAAACTTGCTTTATTGGGAGTAGAAGCTCTCGGCACCAAAAGCTCCCTCTCCTATGTGGAGATCAACCTGCACCCAGATCGTGACCCTGAAAACCACTGCTTGGGGATTTTAGGGAGACAGACAATTTCAATCATGACAATGAAGACCATTGTAGATTTATATATTGTAAAACAGAAGCAAAAGAGAAACATTGTTTAAACTAGAAAATAATAATTTTACTTCCTATTTCTTCCTCTTACAGGTGCGGAGCGCTGCACCCCGGAGATCACATCCTGTCCATTGACGGCACCAGCACAGAGCATTGCACGGTGATGGAAGCTGCGCAGCTCCTGGCCAGCACCATGGAGAACGTGAAGCTGGAGATCCTGCCCGTCCATCACAGTCGGCTGTCTCTCCGGCCGCCAGAGACCGGTCAGTGGATGCCGCTTTCCCTCCCCCTGGGGTAGTTATGAGATCTGTATCAGAGGATGGCGCTAGGTGAAGGTCGAGCTCAGCCGCCTGCAGTCACTTTGCAGAGGGAAAAGTTCTCTTCATTCGGAGCCTCTCATCCGTGAAGGGTTGTTATTTGGCAGGGCAAGGTTGGAGCAGAGCAGTGTGATAACGTGGCCTGCTTTGCCTGTGCAGCTCTGTAACCCTTTTCTGTCCTCCGATGTGTGCGGCCAGTTCTCGCCAACTCTTCTGTGTATATGATTTATTTATTACATTTTATATCCTCTGCAGTGCTGAGCAGATCGAGGGCACACAGAGGCTATAAGGAGGCAGGGAAAGGGGAAAGACATGAGGTGGATGCACAGACCGATTTCTGTTCCTTTAGCAAAACAATCCCCAATGGCTTCTGGGTCATTTTTAAATAGATGCACTTTAACTGGATGCCGTTTTTAGTTTGCCCTCAGCACTATGTGCCATAAGCAACTGCCATGTTTTTTTTTTCTTCAGGAAATACATTTGTAGTCTTTTTTTTTTTTTCTTTTTCATCTTTTGTTAAATTCTTAGTGCTGCTGGTCGCTTGCAGCCTCTTGGCAGCCACATCTGCCTACATGTATGCACTCCAGTGAAGGCTAAATTAAATTGATTAGGAAGCATTTACTGATGCCAATAAAGCATTAGACGCATGCACAATACGCATCCGCATGGCCTCTTCCATCAGACGCACAGATGACTGGGTGAAAATACATTACCTAGGGCAGTGTAGATGCAAATGCATCTGCATAGGAATGCCCACTCTTCCAGACTGTCAAACACCTAGACAGAGCTGTTGCTAAAAAGAGGCAGTCTGAGGCGTATCTCTTTGGGTCACATGGGGCATGCCTGCCGCACCTTTTGTGGCCAGTGTGTGCCGCTCAGCTCCTCGCAGCCAGTGACGTCTGTGAGCTGGGCAGGGTTTCCAAACAGAGCCGGAGCCAGAGGTACCCCCCTGCCTCCGGGTATCATGCTCCACTAGCACCCCCCAACCCCCTGTAACATGCAAGTTCATGTAGGACATTAGGGGTTTGTAGATGGAGGTAACTAGAGTTCATGTAGGACATTTAGTCTTTATAGGTTGAGATAACGAGAGACCAAGACAGAAAATCAAAAACAACTTTTCTGTCCTTGGCTTAAGAAAAAATAGCTTAATGCCAAGACCGCTATCCTCCAACCTTGATGTGAGGGAGTCTTATCAAGACAAGGCGACCCATCTCATGTTCTTGGCACGATCTAATACGAGTACATCTTGTCATTACTATCTGATGTTTTTAGATAATTCAAGGTAACACATATGGTTTAATTGATAAAATCTCAAAGAAAAGTGGCCTGCAAGCCCATATTATCTGAATGCGCCTGTAATGCTGCATGTTCCCGGCCGGCCAAATAAAAACCTACTTCTTAAAGATCTGCCTGGTGTCAATCCTCCATTAATCCTACTTCAGAGTCTCATGACTTATATGATACAACTAGCTTTTTCAATCCTTTTTTTTTTTTTTGGTTGCTAGGTACTGTGTATGAGAAGAGTGGACTATAAATCCCCTGTGTCTTAAATTATAAGTATTTGTATAGGTTGCTGATAGGTTGTTAAAGGTTCACTCTACTCAGAACTAATATCTCAGCTAAGAATAGAGGCTGGTGGTCTATATTCAGTGGATTCTCAGAAGAAAGCTGGTGGTCTCTAGTCAGTGGATTCTCAGAAGAAAGCTGTTGGTCTATGGTCAGTGGATTCTCAGAAGGAGGCTGGTGGTCTATAGTCAGTGGATTCTCAGAAGAAAGCTGGTGGTCTCTAGTAAATGGATTCTCAGAAGAAAGCTGGTGGTCTATGGTCAGTGGATTCTCAGAATCAGGCTGGTGGTCTATAGTGAATGGATTCTCAGACGAAGGCTGTTGGTCTATGGTCAGTGGATTCTCAGACGGAGGCTGGTGGTCTATAGTCAATGGATTCTCAGATGAAGGCTGGTGGTCTATAGTCAGTGGATTCTCAGAAGGAGGCTGGTGGTCTATAGTCAGTGGATTCTCAGAAGGAGGCTGGTGGTCTATAGTCAGTGGATTCTCAGAAGAAAGCTGGTGGTCTCTAGTCAGTGGATTCTCAGAAGGAGGCTGGTGGTCTATAGTCAGTGGATTCTCAGAAGGAGGCTGGTGGTCTATAGTCAGTGGATTCTCAGAGGAAGGCTGTTGGTCTATGGTCAGTGGATTCTCAGACGGAGGCTGGTGGTCTATAGTCAATGGATTCTCAGAGGAAGGCTGGTGGTCTATAGTCATTGGTATCTCAGAAGGAGGCTGGTGGTCTATAGTCAGTGGATTCTCAGAAGAAAGCTGGTGGTCTATAGTCAGTGGATTCTCAGAAGAAGGCTGGTGGTCTATAGTCAGTGGATTCTCAGAAGGAGGCTGGTGGTCTATAGTCAGTGGATTCTCAGAAGGAGGCTGGTGGTCTATAGTCAGTGGATTCTCAGAGGAAGGCTGTTGGTCTATGGTCAGTGGATTCTCAGACGGAGGCTGGTGGTCTATAGTGAATGGATTCTCAGACGAAGGCTGTTGGTTTATAGTCGGTCGAGTCTGAGACGAAGGCTGATGGTCTATAGTCGGTGAATTTCTCAGAAGGACTTCAGAGGTTAACTCTACTACTTCCTTGGCCATTGTTGATTGTCAGGAAGGTCCAACAATTAATTATTCACCCAAAAAAAGACTCAGCGGGAGGGTTACAGTTTGGTTAAACCCTTTGCTCCTCCCAGTTAAGGTGCAGAAGAGCGAACACCACCACTGCTGGGACCCCTGTGTGAACTACTGCCATACCCACCTCCCTGGGCACTGCAAGACCCCCACCTGGAACCCTCCTTCTAATCAAGACTACTGCAAGTGTGAGTACACCGCCATGTCTTATGCCTGCCACATTGTAGGTCACCATAATAGTTTGCAAAGAAATTCGGACACTTGGGGGCAAAAAAAGCAATAGGTCGAAAGAAAAATAAATAACTCAATAATAATATAATGAGGCAGTCTGAGGTGGTTGTCTTAGGTGGCATCTCTTTGGGTCACAGCAAGAGCGTTCCAGGTTGCTAAGAGCTCTTCGCAACCTGTGGCGCTCTTTCCGGCAATGTGCCAGCACCCCTCCCCTTCCCAAATGTGCACCACCAGCACCCACCCCCCTTTCGCCACCAGAACTGACATCCACCCCAACATCCATCCACACACCCCCGGCCTCAGGCTACAATCACAAATTCAGCAATCAATTCCTGACGGTAGTTCTAGCCCTTCCTCCTTTCTTCTAATAACTGCTTTTATTGGGGACAGATTTTGCTCACTTCCTGTGCCAGTGACTCTGCAGGAAGCGAGAGGTACTCAACCGCTACATAACAGAAGCCTGACAGAGGTTGTGACCCCTCCCAGCTTTATCCAATGATGAAAGAGATTAAAAATTATTGGCCAATACCTTTTAGAGGTGGAGGGGGGGGGAACAGGGTAATGAAGGTGTCTAATTTCCATTGCCAAGCTATAAGGTCTCAGTTTCTGATATGGCAAGTACTAGGGGAACATTTTATAAAGCAGTAAATCTGACCAAACATTCACTACAGGTGAATCTTCCAGGTGCATGCGTTTTCAGTGACAGTGCTTCACCACAAGTGAATGTTTATATGAAAGACACAAGCACTGCTTTATAAACATGCCCCTTAGTGTCTCTTTGAAAAGAAAAGCCGTATATTCTATATATATCCCTTTTCACAGTGAGGAATCTTCCAGCGTAATGCCCCATTAATAATGAAAGCGACATTTGTCCCTGGAATAGGCATCGCCGCGTGCCGCCCCTCCAGCAGCGGTGGAGTTTAACACTACATCTGCCGACACACAGGGATGAGAGAAAAGCCGCCAGGCTGAGCGCTTCTCCTATGATGATAAATGGCTGACTGCACCGGAGTGCGCAATGCCAGGCAGATGCCAGTTACTAATTAGGAGATGCTATTATCATACCAGAGCCGGCACAATAACGAGCACAAGAAGCTGCTTCTCCCCCTGGCAGGCACTCAGGGTTAAGCAAAGGGTTCGAACTGAAAGCAATGTACACTGACATGTAAGATGCTAAGATTGCTTCATGTTAAGATTTGTTCTTTTAGTGCTAATCTGATGTTCAGTACAGGAAAGCATTTCCGCCCGTGTCATTAACACACCATTCTGGTACCTCGTAATATAAAAATCTATAGATTTCAGCATAAAACATCTTTTCAGTTCTATTGCAGACCGGAGTCTGTACTCTTCTCCAGCTCAGACATAATGGAACAATGTTCCTTAAAGTGTATGTAATATTATAATATATTTTTTTTTAAAGCATTTCTCTATCTTTTTTAAGTCATGGCAATTTTTAAAAGTATGCAAATTACCTAAATCTAAAAAAGTTTAAAATAAATGACGTGTTGTCCTCCTAAGATCATTATTACCCGACCCTTACCCTGGGCAGAGGTCTGGTATGGCGTTTAAAGGTGGACCCAGAGCCGGATTAACATAGGGGCTACTAGAGTGCCAGCTCCAGGCCCACCATTGAAAACAGGCCCAGATTGCATCATTATACCTGATGGCAATGTGGGCTGGCCGGGCTGAACACTATAAGGCATAGGCACTGGTGCCTTCTATAATCAGGCATATTAGATGGCTGCTTGCTGGGCCCCCCGCCGGAGAGCGAGGTGCCGCCTAATTAGTGAGCCACTTCCGCTACGTCTTGCCCAATCAAGCGACACCACCAGGTCCAAGATGCTCTTATTCTGGCAATGGGTGGACCCCAGGTAAGAAACAAAAAGAATTGGAGTTTTGGCCTTCACATCAAAGCTTCCCCTCTTCCTTTCGCATCATAGTCTCTCCCCCCTCTCCCTTTCGCATCATAGTCTCTCTCCCTTTCGCATCATAGTCCCCCCC